CACACCTCGCAGATGGTATATAAATGTTGACCTGCACCCTAGGGCATTGGGTCAGCTCACTCCCTGTCTCTGCGCCCCCTGGCGCTGGGGTCTGATCACCCCCTGGCGCTGGGCCTTTGCACAGTAGTGTGCCCCAATGAGGCCTCTTCTTCCCCCAATAGCCTCAGTCCGATCCACGGGATAAAACAACAACATAAATATGAGCCCCTGGGCTATAACATAATACGAGTCCTACAAGCCACACTCTGGCTCCTTAAAAACTCCAAACTGCTCCTCGAGTATTGAGTACCTCCCAGCTCTGGGTACCTTGTAGACTCCTTGAGCCTCATTAGCCATAGCAAGTCTGACCAGCAGCCACAGTGTTCCTGGGTAGTTCTGCCATGCAGGAGCTCTCTTCCCCTGGCCTCTTGCCAGAGACCTCCCCCTGCCAGCCTCAGCCCTGGGGTTTATATGTACACAGAGGTCTATCCCCTTCTTGTCAGCTGACTGGCCTGGGTGGTTGGGCTTTTCACCCCTTGTTACCTCTCAGCTCTGTGTTCTTGGGGAACCCTGGCACAGGACGCAGCCTGTCTGACTCACAAAGAATTTTCCCCTCCTCTACCTGAACAAGAACTGATTATAAAAGACAATGAAGATGCAGTGGGAGATGCACCTAAAGCCCTCCAGATAAGGGAGCAACTGCCCCGGTCTCATTTGCATCCGAGATGGAACCAGATGACAACTCATTTAATTGGGAGATGGGACAGTTCTCCATTAGCATTCAGGATGGAGAACGGAGATTCCAAGGCAAGGGCCGCACAGAATTCTTGGATCAGGGAAGCAGGGGAGCACTGCATGATGGGGAATCTGTGCTCCAAATGGTAATCGACCCACATTTACACACACCCAGCTCAGCATTTATCAGACCAATTCTGATCTGGATTTACAAAGGACATTTCCCCCACACACACACACATACCTCATCTAACCAGAACTAAGCAGAAGTAAAGTTTAATACACATCCTGGGCCGTACATTCCCTGGTCCCACTATGGGAGGCCTATTTAAACCTGATTGACTAAAACTCAGTCACCGGGTTAAGAAATGCTGAGGCAAGTGACCGAGTCAGAGGGGGTATGGGCAACTTTTGAACAATGGTTAAGGGTTCATCACAGCATCCAGCTTGTTGGAGCCCTGACCACAAACGTGTCTCGGACGGCCAGGGCCGACTCGAGTTACGCTCGTACGTCAGGGCGGGCTGGTGAATGGAGAGGCAGACACAACTTATTGGTTGTAAAAAAACTTTATTCACGCCGCTTGCAATCACGACGCAGGTGGTCCGGTCATCGGAACAACCACACGAGTTGTTCCAGCTGGCGGGGCCCAAGCCAGTTAATCTGTCCGCAATTCGAAGCCGGCGGGGAACGGGGTACCGCGGAATTTTAAACGGCCAGCGAGCCAATTACTAGCCACCACGTGTGAATAATTTAACACTGGCCAATAACGGGGCACAAATTTGCATCCGAATAGCGGGAACTCTTTGCACCGTGCATTTCTGTGCTGCAAAGAAGAAATGCATCCTGCAAAGGAAACTGCAAATTGGCGGGAACTCTCCTGCACGCAGGCTCTTAATTGCAGCAGAACACTCTGCTGTGCAAAGGAGCTCTCATGTGGCCAGGAAATTCCATAGTGCCGAGGCACAAAAAATCACTGGGTCGTGACAAAATGCTGTCATACTTTTCCTGGGATGACTGGTGGAAGTCCTCCCCACAAAGTTTATGAACACTCCAAGTAATCCCCTTACGTCTGTTAAAAGACTACAGTAAGATCTGGAAAAGTCATGCTAAGCTGAGGCCTATTCACAACAGGTAAAAATACAAAACCCCGACACTGCAAGCTACCTATTGTTTCTGAAGAAACAATGAGGTATCCGATCCAGTATATCTGCTATCCATAAGAATCTCAAGCTGGCTCCTAAGTGTCTGGTTACCCCTTAACCATATGTTTTTCTTGGTTGTTGATCAGTTTCTTGAGATGTTCCAAACCAGATAACCCCTTGTCAATAGAAAAGACAATTATTTACACAATTAAAAGAATGCTTTGAAGAAGTTGAACTAAGGGTATAAAAATCTGTAAAAGCAGCAACCTGTGTGCTTCAAGAGGAGAAATCTCTCTGACACCATCCGCTGTTGTTCCCGAAAAGCTGCCGCTTTTCCTGGCCCGTGCTGACCCAGCTGGGTCCGTCCCATCCGGAGCAGCATGCAGCTGAAGCCAGCTTCCTACATGCTGCTGGGGACAGGAGGAGCCTGGCCGGGTCTGCACCGGCCAACAGAAGCAGAGGCAGAGCCATGTGCCACTTGGGACGGGACGAGCTCAGCCTGAGTGGTAGGGGTTCAGCTGCATTTTCCCCCTATCTGCGCTGGTCAGTCCTGAGCAGCACATGGCTCCCCCGCCACTTCTGCTTCCAGCCGGGCTCATCCCATCCCCAGCAGCTTGTGGGAAGCCGGCTTTAGCTGCATGCTGTTCCGGATGGGATGGACCTGGCCGGGTCTGCACCAGCCAGCAGAAGCAGCGGCAGAGTTGTGTGCCACTTGGGACTGACCGGCACAGGTAGGGGGAAAGTGCAGCCGAGTCCCTGCTGCTCCAGCCGGGCTTGTCCTGTCCTGAGCGGCACATGGCTCCGCTGCCACCACTCCACCCTGGTGCTGACTGGACCAGAGCTGCATCCCAGCTGCTGCTTCTCCTCCCCAATGCGGGCCCAGCCCGACCCCTCACAGCCCAAGTGGCATGGCACACGCCTGCCCAGCAGCCGCTTTCCAGGGCTTACCTGTAGGACAGGGCCCTTTCCAGTCCCACGCAGAAGGCAGAAGCTGGCCCAGACGCTCTTTCCCCTCATTTCCCCTCACCAGCGGCACAGGTTCTGGCCCAGCTCCCCCTGTCCCTCTCAAGCTGTAAACGTGGCCTGAGCCAGGGGCGGGGCGAGGCCAGCTAGGTCAGGCTGAGGTCAGGGTTGGTTGCCTCCCAACCAGAACCCAAGTAAATAGCCTGAGGTGCTGTAGCTGGCAGCTCGTGCCACCAACTGCCACTGGAAGCTTTTAAGGAGGCAGCCACCATTACCTGGGTTTTGAAGGGGCTCCGCATGCCGGAGGGAAGTGCTTGGCAGGCCAGAGCCAGTCTGTGGGCCGTATTTTGCCCACCTCTGTGTTAAGCACACCTCAGACTTTCCCTTTCCTAGTTAATATTATTCCTTGGATTCTTTTCACCTCTAGAAATATGAACATGGGAAAGATGAATTGATGTTTTTTGCAGCTTGGAGGAATAAGCATCACTACTTTTGTTAGGGCAGCACATATACAAAAACAGAGCTAGAAGGGGCCTTAACAGGTCATCTAGTCCAAACTTCTGCTCAAGACAGGATCATCCCTGTTTACACCATCCCAAACAAATGTTTGTCCAATCTGCTCTTAAAAACTCCCCAAAACAGAGATTCTCTAACCTCTTTAGATAAACTGTTTCAGTACTTAACCATGCTCATATTTAGAAAGTTCTTCCTAACATGCAACTTAAATCTTCCATGTAATATAAACCTATTTAATCTTTTTGAGATCTAGGCCAAGTACAGATGTTATACTTAATATGCGTTAAGCATGCAGAAAGTGCTTTGAAGCTATAACAGATGTTCATGGCACTTAAAGTGCTTTAAAAATGGCGGATCCCATTTTAAGTTAACTGCCGATGGATGTAATATTAGACTGAAGCACTTTAGGTTAGAGCACTTTTTGAACATCTGTACCATATCCACCATGTTTTACTGTAGCACCATTCTGCTGCCATGCCAGGGCCACTCACGGCTAGCCTCAGTTGGTGCTTGTCTGCTCCAAGCAAGGCCCAGCTCCATCCCCAGGCTGTCACAGAGAAGAGACAGAAAAGGCTCAGTTCCCTGCCTGAGCAGCTGGGCAGGGGAGTGGGGAAATGGAGCCTTTCTGCTGCATAGATCCCGTCGCGCCCCAGTGATGGATGTGGTGCAGATGTTCAAAAAAGCGTTCTAACCTAAAGTGCTTTAGTTTAATATTACATCCATCTAGAGTTAATTTACAGTGGGATCTGCCATTTTAAAGCACTTTAAGTACTCTGAACATCTGTTCTGTGACCTCAGGTCTTGGTGGGGGCCAGGCTGGGTCCGCATGGCAGAGAGGCTCTGTTTCCACCCCCTCAGCTCCAGTTCCTGGCCACTGTTGGGGGGCTGAGGTGGCAGGGGGAAGAATGGAGACACATCACCCCCACCTCCGCCATGGGGGCCCTCCCAAAGCTTGCTGGCTGGGGTCTTCGGTGGGGTGGGGGTGGGAGGAGCAGGCTAGGTCTGTGCAGCAGGGGGCTCCCTCCCCCACCCCAGCCTCTTGACAGCTGCAGCCCAGAGCTACAGTGTAGGGCTGGACCCTGCTTTTCACTATGCCAGGAACTAGGGCCAGGGCAGGAGAGGGGAAGGAAGCCTCCCTGCTATGTGGACCTGGCCTGGGTCCCTCACCCCGAGACCCCAGCCAGCAAGCTGTGAGGGGGAGGGGCCTTGCGACAGTGGGGGGCCCCGTTCCCCCCAGACCCAGTTCCTGGTGCAACAAGAAGTTGGGCATCCCTGCAGTGCAGCTCCTGGCTGAAGCTGTCAAGAGTTGGGAGCAGGGTAGGGGACACCCCCTCCTGCGTGGACCCAGCTTGTTTCTACCCCTCCTCCCCGGAGACCCGCAGCCAGCAAGCTGTGGGATGGCCCTTGTGGTGGCGGGCTCCCTTCCCCCCCCAGGTGCTGCTGACAATCACCAGCTGGCACAGGGGCAGGGCTAGAGAAAGACATCACTCTGGCAGCTTCCTGGGAGTTGTGTGGGAGCACCCCCCTGCTTGCTGGCCTTGGCCAGTGCAGGCAGGAACTGATCCCCACCCCCACCAAATGGCGAATGTCGCTTCTGTTCATTCCCACTCTAACTTATAGAACTTTAAGTAAAGTGAGATACTTAGAATGCTTCCACCAGGAGCTTTTTGAACAACAGTTACAACAACTTTATTTTGCATTTAAAGACTTTTCAAATCTCTCCTGTTCTTCTCTTCTCTAGATAAAATAATTCTGGTTCTCAGCCTAGCTTTATTTATCTGTCTAGACCACTACTTTTTTTCTAGACCTCTAACCATAAGCCAGTTAAGAGGAGAACAGGAGAATGTTCTGTTTTAGATGCACTAGCAAAAGTCAGAGAAGAGGTAGAGACCAACAAAGTCAGAGAACGATAGAGAAAAACTATTTTGAAAATAATGGTGGTTATCAGAAAAAAAGACTTAGAATCCTAGGCTGTTTCAGAATTTCGTTGGGGGTTTTGAAACCTCTTGCAGCAGTACTTAAATACCACAGCTGAGATTGGGGTGCACTTTGCTATGTGCTATACATATACAGCACCAGACCCTGTTCCAAATATGTTCCAACACCTTGGCTGTTGGTTTCTTCTTTGAATAGTCTTATTACTCCTTAACAGAGAGAAACTGTTTTATATCAGTGATCTGACAGGCTTTTTCAGCACACTTCTTGTCCTTCCTTTCTGCATCAGATATTTTTCTTAAAATAAGATGCCTTCCTCCAAGGCCAGGCTGCCCAATAGCAAAGAATAAAACAGCACTGGCACAATGAAGAGCAGGAGGTGCTGCAGCAAAAACTGTCAGCACCACAGCTGTTTTCATATCATGTTTGAATGCCACAGCATATGGAGGACCCCTGAGCTGGGTAGCACTCTTTAGGGAAACTCAGTCTGCCTCTGTTTCAGGAGATCTCAGACTGTGGTCTGTGGAGCATTTCCAGGTGGTCAACAGAGCTGCTTCTGTCACGTTGGTGAAGCATCTGTCAGTGTTCCAGCAGTGATGCTTCCTGGGAGATGAAGCCAAGTCAATGACTTGTTTCGAGTTTGTAGAGTCTTTTGTGACCAGCTGAATTAAAAAAAACAAACCCTTGTCAGCACCTTGTTTAACCTCTCTCCTGTTTCACTGGCATACATTTGAAAATAAAGCCTGCAGATGATGCTGAAATTAGAAACAAACCAAACTAAATGGCAAAGAATCTGGCAAGAGATAACAGTACTGCAGACATGTTGACTGTGAAGGAAGGTTTGGTCCTAATGAGAAACCCTGATCTCAGGAAGAGGATACAAACTTACACAGTTAAAGGAGGAGATATGACTAGTCAACCACACCTATAGCTTTAGAGAGAGTTTGGACCAGATCCAATATAAAGACTTGGGGGGCCTAAAAGCCAGGCACTATAATACATAACTTTTAACTACCAGGCTCTCAGAGTGGATTCCAGACCCCCGACTGAGACACATAGGCTTCCTAGATGTTGCACAGGAGTTGATCCTATTCTGAGGTGTCTGACAACAGCAGGACCCTGGCTGGGGAGATGATTAATGGCAGCATGCTCAGTATGCAACTGGGGAGAAATAACCAACAGGGACTCGCTGAAGCAGGAGTGAGCCTTGAATGTTGCCTTTCCAGTAATGTATCCTTGAGATCCACAGCCCTGAATCTTCCTTTGCAGGAAGGTGCTTGGTAGGGCTGTGCGAAATGACACTCTTCCGTTTCAACTTGTTTCGAGGTTTGGATGGAACAGTGTTTTCTTTTGAATTTCATTTCGAGTTGAAACAGCTGTTACGTTTTGCTTTGAGGAAACGGGGGCTGTTTTGAAGTTTCACCTGACCATCAGGCTGGGCTGAGTTCCCAACCCCAGGCCCACAATCAGGCCAGGGAAACAAACTCAGGCCAGTTGGGCTGAGTTCCCTTCCCTAGCCCAATCGTAGGCACCTGTGGGGCAGCTGTTGTACCACGAGGGTGGAGCTAGGTTCGGCAGGGCGCTGCGCGCTGTCTGGGAACTGGGGCAGCTCCAACAGTCAGCCAGAGCCCAGCACTGCTCAGCTCCAGCTACTAGACAGAGCGCAGCGCCCTGCCGAGCCATGTCGCACCTGCACCATTGGGCAACTGCTGCACGGGTGCCGGGCAGGAGGGGAGGGGGCAATCCCTGCTGCCCCCCACTGCCCCACACTGTGTTGGGGGGCTCTGCCTTGAGCCCTCAGAGGTCCTGATTGCCACTGCTACAGCTGGTGAGTGCAAGGCTATTTTTGAAGTGCTGGAAGGCTGGGGCTGGGCAGGGGATGGGGCCCAGCCGATGGCAGCTTCTCCCACGGCTCCCCACACCTGGGGAGAGGCAGGGAGCCCACGAGGAGCCAAGAGAGAACCTGCAGCCACCCAGCTGTGCCTGCCTCTCCCCAGCCAATCTGAATCTCTGGATCAGTGCCAAAACAGCACTGAAACTCTGAAACAGATTTGGCCAAAATGGAACAGTGATCCAAAGCACCAAAACGAATCACTGTCCTTCTGAAATGGCTGAATCCAAAATGGAAACAAAACAGCCATTTCGCACAGCCCTATTACATATGGCCTCTTGTTCCTGGATGATCTCAGATATGAGCTATTTGCCAAGCTACACAGCCTGTCAAAACTGAAGTGCTTCTGTGCATGCACTGGTCTCGCATGTCAAGGTCACAGAATGCAGTGCCTAACGTGCTTAGGTATCTGCAGATCTAGAGGCCAGCTGAATGGGGGGGTGGGGGTTCAGGACTGCAACTTTGGCCTCAGGAAGAATTCAGATGAATAGATCCGTTATTTGATTTGGCTGCTAGGAAAATTTTATGAAAAGAAAATAATACAAAGTGGTGGGGTTTGATCATATGACCAAACTCTTAGGGTGCTACAGGTAGCATAGGAAATAGGAGACTGGTCTATGAGAGAAGCTTTGTCCTAGAAAACAGCTCAGCATATGACAGAGAGAGAGGGCAGTGAACCTAGTTTAAACATAATAGCTCTGCAAAGCCTTTCCCTTAACATAATATGAACTGAGCAGTTAGCCACAGCCACCTCTGGTGGACAGCCCTGTTCCATAGACTGTACAAACATTTTGTCCATATTTTCAGTGCTCTGAGTAGAACTGCTACATGTGAACCATTTGAGTCTTTCCTATAAGCAATCTGGCTACCAAACCTACACATTGGAAAATCAGCCTCATTTTGTGGTTGTAGGACAATGATAGTGTGTAATCTACCTCCTACTTTACAAGAACATCTGGCTGCAGCTGGTGTAGGCAGCACATACATACTGAAACTCTGTCAAACACATCCAGTAGTATGCTACTACATTTCAAATTAAAGCATAGTGTGGTACTCTAACAGATGGGCTAGCGAATCACTGTCCACCCTTACTCTCAGGCTCCTCCATCCCACATACTCCCCAGTGAAGCAGCCAGGCACCTCAACCTGGTGATACTAAAAACAGTACAAGTTTACAAAGGGTTTTTTGAGCACCTTGAAGAACTGGGGCCTCCTGTGTTACAAAGTTGCCTATGACATACCTGTGTTATACCTCTGCTAAATGCCTCAGAAATACTAGATGACCTCAGCAAGGCCAAGAAACCAAAATAAACCTTGAATTTAAAAATGAAGTAACTTCTGAGATTGCAAAATCCAAATCTGGAATAACATTTCAAATGCATTTAGATAACATGTTCAATTTACCTTACCATTAAAATCTCATTTCCTAACTTTTATCCCAGGAAACGAACCCAACAGAGATATGGTATACAGTATTTCAAGGTGCATGTGGGGTGGGGAGGTTCCCCCCTCTTTCCTTCTTTAATCAGTTTTATAATGGAAAACTGGCTTGTGCTAGAACATGGAGCCTGGCATCCTGTCTTCAACTGTAGTTAGTATCATTGAAAGAATAGACAAAAAACCCATGTTATTAAGAACTATGATGCCCATAACAGTTTTTTTATCCTCCTCCCCAGCTCAAAATTTACATTAATTTGAAATGTTTATCTTGTCTAATATAATTACGGATGGTCTCATGATTCACAAAGTTGGAATCCTGCATTGTTCCCAGCCTCTTTTACTCTTTTCAAAACCTCTATTGCCTTGGTTATCCACTTCTACAACTATCTATGACTTCTCCTGCGGTTCCTGCACTGGAGAGAATGCCTTTCTAATACTGGTTCAACAAGCCATTACCCTTATTCCAGTTAAATATCAAGATTCACTTCTATGATGCCTACAAAAAAGCAAGGCAGAAGAAAAATTCAACTGAATCATCAATCTGTGCATATATCCACTTTGTCTGATCATATCTGTCAGTCCTCTGTTAAACCATTTTCTCTCTCATTGCCAATTCTACTCATTTCACTATGTGTAAAATAAACTAGTCTCTGCCCTGAAGACTATACTATGCATTTATGAAATGTATATAGAACATTTCTGGCAGCAAATCCTTTATGATTGTAGAAGGTGAAGAGATTAGATCAGGAATACAGAAACATTAAGAGAAGCTAATGCAACAACAAAAATATAAATATTGAAAATCATAAAAGAACAAAGCCTAAGAATATGTGAAAGTGAATAGGTAAGAAAACACAAGTACTGCCAACCACATGGAAGCTGCTACCACAAAGCCTGAGATGTAAAGGTTAGAGGAAAGAAGTCTTGCCAGCATAAATCTAAAGAACAGAACAAAAACAAAAAAGGAAGAAAGAACATGAAACAACTGCATCGAAGCAGATAGAAATTGTGTTCACAAAAGCTAGAGGACAATAAAAGAAAAATATCCTTAAAACAAATGAGAATATTAAGAAACTGCACTCGTTATTGAAGTATGGAAACAGGAGTCTGAAAAGCATAATTCTAGTCTCTTTGTAAAGTTTCATTCAAGAGATCAAAAGACCCATGGGACTGTAAAAGAAATAAGGCAAGGGCTGCTTCTGGCACCTAGGCACTACAATATGATTTACTTATTAGATTTGTTCCTGGAAATTCACTGTCTTTTGTCCTATATGAAAAGGACAATGATTTTGCTATTTTCTGTTACAGCTAAAGATGTAGAGTCAAAATAAGTAAATGAAAATAAGCAGATCCCATTCCCAATGTTTAATCTGAAAAAAAATGACTATACTTCAACCTATTCTTGGTCACATGTCCAATTCCAGTGAAAATTGAGGAAGCAATAGGTTTATACCAGTACCTTTGAGGACAGAATTTGATTTACAGATTTGTTTTTTTTAGTACATTAGAAGGAAAGAGCCCAACCTGACTTTCACACTGCATCAGTAATGAAAGTTGGGGGGGGAGGGAGCTGCAGGGCACCATCATCAACCGCCCTTTTTACTTGTAAGATTAGTACATTTTGTTTGCAGTCAACAAGACAACAAACACACGTATGCCATCAGGAAGCACCACCTTTACAGGCACTTTTGCAAATCAGAAACGACACTTAATATTAAAAATGGAATCTTAAGGGTTGTATTCTCTTCTTAAACATACTAGCTGCAAAAGCTTCACCAAGCAAAAGCTGTGCTGGTGTTTGTAATGTACCTGATGATCACAATGAGGGCTCGGGCTCCATTCCATTGGATACCCTACAACGGCACCCTGCAACTGCACGGGCACCGTTTGCGCGAGGCGGAGGGTCCTGGAGGAGAACGAGAGCAGCATCAGACCGGGAGCGCGGGGCCGGGCAGGCAAGTCCGGCTCCAAAGAGCCGGGCCCTTCACGCGGCCGCCCGGCCTCGCAGCCTCCGAGAAAAGGCAGGAGCAGCGCCCACAAACCCCTCACTGCCTGGCCAGTCCCGGGCTCCAGCGCGCTCAGCCCCACGCGCGCTGACGTCATACGCCTCGGAAGGGGCGGGGTTGCCGCTCGCCCCGTCTGATGCGCGCGCAACCGCGGCGCTGGCGTAGAGAGGAGCGTGTACGGGGCCGGCGATGGTGGGGATCCCGGGAGCCTTCCAGTGTAAGAGCGCCCCCGCCCCCTGGCTGCGTGGCTCCTCGCGTCGGGTCGGGCTCGCCTGTGCCCGTTGCGCAGTGGGCCGAAGGTGCCGTCTGGTGGGCGGGGCGGTGGTTCCCACCCCGCAGGGGAGCGGCGGGATGGCCGCCTGCGTGCCC